AAATAAAAGATAGCTCACTAAGTGATGACTTTTCAGCTACCCACATACTAAACCCCCCCCCCCCCCACACACATTTATGGATTAGACAGTAACCGATTAAGGAGCTGTCAGCAAAATCCTAAAATGTAGATAAACTGACATTATAACATGTAGACATAGTGGTAACAGCTTGAAATTCATATGGATTTGATTAATTCATTAGTTTACTATGTATTACTTTAAATATGCAATGCATTTAGTTCTCTGGAACTAGAAGTAATTTTTTTGGTATAGTTGATACACTGTTTTTCAAGAAGGAGCTACATGAATGCTGAAATCCACTGGATCAGCAGTTTTGTGAGGTTTGTTACATTAACAGCTGGCAAATTTAATAAATGAAATAGTCATGAAATATATGGAAAGAACCTTGAAAATACTTGATATGCATTATGCTTTGAGCACATAACATCACATGATCAGCTGTACTAGTAGGGCCAGTATAATGTCACAAAGTAAGTTTACCGCTTCATTAACCTGCATGCATGTGTGAGGAAGAGTGGTGGGGGTTGTTGTTTTTACAGCATTCTTGTTGCCAAAGCAAGCAATTTTTTTACTTTCCCTCCACCCCTGGTTTAAAAATATGAGGGTTGAATGAAAAGTAATGCCTCCAATGTATAGGTTGCCAACAGATGGCAGTAATGATGTGCTAAACGCTCTGTCATGTTCTTTATCATCAGTTGTTTCACCAGTTGGCGAGGCAGTTGCTGTGAGAAAAGGTTGTGTTGTTACTGTTCATGAAATAGAAACCTACAGTGAGCACTTACATGTCAGTGCACTTTAAGTAACATACGGTGATTGAACTTTTAACTGCTGAAGCAGTTCTTCCAACTGAAATTCAACACTGAATACAGGTTGTTTATGGCAATGACTGTGTTGACATGAGTACTGTGTGATACTGGGTCGAAAAATGTAAAGCTAATGAACTGGGAAGGGCTGATTTCTGTGATCAAGAATAAAGTGGATGACCTGTGTCAATCCTTCCTCATATGAGGAAAGATTGATGAACTGATTAAGGACAATCTGTGGGGCACTCAGAAGGAAATTGCTGTCAGACCTGGCATTTCACAGGAACACATGGATCATATTATTGATGTTCTTCAATATTGGAAGGTTGTACATGATGGGCTCCTCTCATGATAACCAGAGTTGAAGGCTTCAAGAGTTGAAATTGGTTAATAATTGTTTTCATGCTGCAAGAATGAAGGTGAGAAATTTCTTCACAGCATCATAACTGCCGCAAAACATGGGTTCATCATTATGACCAAGAGTGTCAGTCCATGGAATTTCATTATAAAGCTTCATGTATGGTGGTGGTGGTGGGAATCAAAACCCAGGTCTTGGCAGGAAAGCACATGGTTACAGTTTTATGGGAAGCGAATAGTGTCATTCACATGGATCTCCTTGAATCTGGTATCAACTCAAAGTGTTACAATGCAGTGCTCAAAATTTTAAA